ACCAGTTTTGTTCTTTTTATCTAATACATATATATCTGGTCTTTTGTGATATTGTCCATCACTTTTAGGCATTATTTGTTTGTTCCATATCATTGTGATGTCTTTATATTGGAATATTGTTTCATATGGAGGTTTTTATATTGATTATTTCCTGTATATTTTCTTATTAATCAATATTATTATGCCGATATTGTCATGTTTTTCAATTTGTGATTTTTTATGATAAATACAAGATAGTAGAATGTGTTCTACTGTAGCTATCTTGTCTTTACAAAGTGTTTCGTATTTCAATTTTTCATTTTGCATTATTTTTGCTTTCTTATACCCACAAAATATTGCTCCATCATTCATTTTAGTTAATTTGAGAAATGTATTCTTCTTAATATTGATGGATTTCCATGCTTTCACTGTAATAGTTTTATCTACTCATTTTGACTCATTCCATCTTCTAAAATATCCACTAATTTGATGATATTTCAATTTTTTGATGTATTTATCATTAATTTCATTGTGGATTATTCCCATTTCTTCACTACTTTCTGTCATTATTCTCAAATCATCCATATATAATGTGTGATTTGATTTTGGGAATTTCTCTTCGATGATTTGAGAAATTACATTCATCTGAATGATGAAGAGTAGATTTGATAAGGAATCACCTTGTAAAATTCCTCTATTTAATTTAATATATCCTAGATATTCATTAAATTTATAACCGATGAATATCTTCCATCTAGTCATCATACTTTCAATAATGTCAATGATGACACCCTCTACATTAATATATTTTAATGTTTCAATTACCCATTCGTGGTTGACAGTGTCATATGTTTTCTTGATGTCATAATATGACTCCACATATTTTGGGTATTTCTCTTCTTTCTGCTGCTTTAACATATAACTATTAATTATTCCTTCTTTAGCAGCTAAAGATTGTAACTTACATCCCAGTTGATTTTTACTGATTTTCAATGATTCACAATTCATGTTAAGTCTTCTGTGAATCTTTTCTTTTAATATGGAGGTAAATACTTTCATAATTACATTTGTACAACTGATATGACGATAATTAGTGACATCATTCGTATCAATTTGTGGATTAATAAAGTTCTTCCACTTACCATGTCTAATGGGATGTTTTCAGGGAAGTTCAACCATTCATTGAAGATATTGAGAATGATTTCTCTTGATGATGACATTCTTTTCCAATAATACCCATATATAATGTCTATTCCTGGTGTTTTCTAGTTACTTATTCTCATTATACTTAAATTTAATTCATTTATTGTTATTATGACATTATCATAATTTCTATATCTTTCATTCCACGATGTGATTTGTTTTATTTTCCAATTTTCTTTATTTAATATCACATGTGTTTCATATAACATTTCCAATATCCTAAAGTAATATCGTTATTTGGGTATATTTCATTTTTTTGTTTCTTCCTTATTCTAATTTTCTTGTTAGAATCAAACATGATTTTATTTGTATTGATTCTGACCCTTTCTTCCTTATTAAATTTAATTCTTTTATCATTGTCATCATATATTTTAGGTATTTTATTCTTTCTAGTGCTTTGACTTTTATTCCTTCTTCATCATTTTCTTTTAATTTCATGATGCACTTTATTCTGTACAATTTCCTTCCATTGACTAGATCTTCTAGTCTATTTATTTTCTTTAGGATTTCTTTTATTTCATCAAATTTATCTCTTATTATTTTATTTTGGAGATAGAGGTGCATAACCATTGAAATCCTCTTCATATCATCTTGCAGATCCTGCATTCTGCTTCCTGACCATATCCATCTATTATTAATTTCCATTATTAATCGGTCAGCTTCTTTTCTTTGAAAATAGTAATTAATGTTTGTACATTTTTCTATTTTCATTTCTTTTATTTTATTGATGAGAGTTTTAAGGTATTCTTCATCAATTTCAATAGAGTTATTCTTTAATATTATTTTTTTATTATTGAATTACACTCTACTCTTCCTTCTATTATATCATTTACTTTCACTTTAATGTATTGTTTAGTGCTTTCTTTTATTTTATGTGACATTTTAATATATTTAATATATTCTTTTTCAATATTGACATTGATGTTTGTTGCTTTTATTATACTTTCTATTTGTTCCCATCTTAATTTCTTATATAATTTCTTATTTAACCAATTAATTTCAAAACAATACATCACTTCAATTAAATTTCTATTTCTTCTTTATTTCATATTTCTTCTTGTATTTTCCTTATGTTTTTTTGTTATTTATTATTCTTGCAACTTTACATCTATCATTCATTTCTTTGTTTGGGTTTTTGTTTTTAATTTCTGCTTCAATTGCTTGGATATCTTCTTCTTCCCATCCTTTTGTTTTTTCTTTAAACTCTTCTTTAGTTTTTTCAATTATCTTTTTCTTTTTTTTTTGAATATATTTCTTAAAGAATATCATACCATCTTTTTCTTTTACCTTCATACTTTTTAAGTATTTCTTCTTTTTCTCCTTTTCCCATTCACTTGTTATTCTTTTTATTCTTTCTTGTATCTCTTTTATTGTTAGCCATTTGTATTTGTTATTTGTATAATCTTTATTATTATTGTATTTACCTTGTTTTTCTTTGTTTTTTTTCGTATTTTTCGACTTCTAATCATTTTTTCCTTTGTATTTAGTTTACTATTATTATGCAATTTATTGTTATTGACATTTATTGCCATTTCCATTCATTTTTTTATTGTACAACCTTTGATTTCTATGTCTTGTTTGCTTTTCTTTAGAACACACATTGATATTACTCAATAGTCATAGTTATAATATTTGACGTATATCCTGCATTGGAAAAGGAACTTTTTAAAAAAAAAATAAAAAATAATACAATAAGAGTGATTACAAATTTTTCAATTTGTCAATTAATGAAAAATGTTATTTTATAAATTTAAATAATATAAAATCATTATTAATTTAAATAATACAATGAGAGAACTACGGAAAAGTATTAATAGTTTTAGTTTCTCTCTGTTCATTTTGAGAACAACATGATGCGAAGACTTTCAAGAACATTTTCTACTACAATAACTTGGAATGGTCAAGAAAGTAATCTTGATGAAATATATTATAAAGCAATAAAAATGAACACTAACACAAGTAGTTCTGAGATTAATATATATACGTTTACTGAACAAATGAAAAAGAAAAATATTACTATATTTAATGAAATGCCATTAATACAGTTCTACAAAGTTGAACAAGTAAAATGGGCAATACATAAATTAGACATAAAAAAAAGAACAATCTTTAAAGAGTTAGTAAAATATATTAATAACTTTAAATTACCAGAATCTATATTTGATGGTATTTTAGTTAATAAACCTGATAGGAATAGTATAAGACTATTAGAGTGTGTATTAAAAAACCCAGAATTATTTGAAGATGAAGGAAAGTTTTATCCTCATTTTAATAACTTAGGAGAGGTAATTGCTATTCCTCCATTAACTGCTTTACAATGTTTATTTAGTAAGTCGTTAGTAAGTCATGAATTTACTCTATCAACCCTATTTATTGTTAGAGAAGTTATTTCTGATAAAGATTTAATAACAATGTTAAATACTGAATTAAAAAATAACAATACAGAAAATACTCTTTTTATCAAAGACAGTATATATCAAATTGCTAATTATTGGATTGAAATATATTCAAAAGTAATGAAACGTGATGACCTTCAAAGTCTTAAAAATTTCTTAGACGTAATAAGTACTGATGAAATACATATTGACAAAGAAATAAAAAAAGGTACAAAAACCATTGTTGATGATAAACCAAAATTAATTAAAGGGCAATCACTAATGAGTCTTAGTATTGCTAATCAAAAACTAGAATTATCCGATGCATCAAGTAATGGTTCAATACAATCTCCAAATCCAGAATCTGAAACAAAAGGTACTGAATTAGGAACAGAAGATACACTTACTTCTGATGAAAGTGAGAATAAAACTGATGTAACAAATGAAACATTTTCTTTAACAGAAAGCCAGAAACAACCTAAAGTAAGAACTGACTTTTATAGATTTATAGATATCAAAATATCAAAAATTGCAGAACAATTTTTTGTTTATGACATAAAATTAATCAAAAAATTAACGATGGGAGAAATTATTCTTCAAGAAAAATCATTTACAAATTACTTATCAAGAATAAATGCAATTGATAGAATGGTAAATTCATTCATTGATAAAGAGAAAAGTCCACAAGTTTTTTCATATTTTATAAAAGTTGCAAGACATTGTTTAAAAATTGGTGAATATAATATTTCTTATATTATTTCCTGTTCTTTAAAAAATAAAAGTACTACTTATAAACAAGCATTTGAAAAGAATTCAGCTCTTACAAAATATAAAGATCTTGAAGAAATATTTCCACTTCATAACCTTGAACCTTATAAAGAAAAGTTTAGAAAATGTAAATGTGCAAAAATTCCTATAATGCGTTTGTTATTTTCTTTTATATTATTAAAATGAATATAAAAAAAATAATTTAATAGAGTCTCATGTCTATGCTTATATCTGTAGAGCTAATGATTCTAAATTAAAAGGTATTGATGATGAAAAATTACTTAGTACTAAATTTATTAAAAAATTAAATTCATTAAGTCTTCCACTGATGTCTATTTATACTGCTCTTAGATATATTCTTCAATACAAACCTATAGAATCAGTTCAAGAATATTTTGAACGTCTTAATTCTTAAAATTACAAAATAATAACTTTTTTATTTTTAGTTATAAAATATTTCTTAGAAATATAATTTTTTTTTTCTAATAGAATAATATTATTATTAATGTCTCAATTTATTTTATCTCTCATAATAATTTAATTTTATTATAATAAATTTATAGAATATATATTATTTTATTTAATTAAAATATTCTTTCTCTTTCTTCAGTTTTTATTAAAAAAAATATTAATTAAATAATTATTAAATTTAATAAAATTATAGAAGATATTAATCAGAAAAATTATTGGATAAAAGTTCAATTAAACCATTTTAAATAGAAACTTGAACTCTGAAGAAGTCACCTGGTTCACCACAAAGTGGACATACTTTTGGTGGTTGAGTACTTTCAAAGATATATCCACATTCTCTACAAACCCAAAAGACTTTTTCAGTTTTCTTGTAAAGGGAATTAGCTTTTAATTCATCAAGAATCTTTTGATAATTGTTATGATGATTAAGTTCAGCTTTAGCAATAAGGTTAAGTCTAGCAGCAATTTGAGCATGTCCTTCTTCTTTAGCTACTTTAGCAAATTCTGGATACATAGTTTCATGTTCATAAGTTTCACCAGCAATAGCAGCTAATAAGTTATCAGCAGTAGTACCAAAATCAATTGGAACAGCAGTTTCAATTTTTGGAGTTTCTTGTCCTTCCTTTTTAAGTGATTGAATCATTTCAAAAAGAATTCTAGCGTGAGTTCCTTCTTGATTAGCTGTTTCATTGAAGAGTTGTGCAATTACATCAAGACCTTCTTTTTTAGCAGTTTTAGCATAAATTAAATATCTATTTCTTGCTTGAGATTCTCCAGCAAAAGCCTTACAAAGATTAATGAGAGTTGCCATTTTGAAATACTTAAGTTAACTGAAATATTGAAGTTCAAAAATATTTAAATAATAAAAAACTCAACGAAAATAGTTTCTATTTTTTATTGCTTCTCCACATAACTTTCTTAGTAAGAAGGTTCAGTTTTGTTAGATAATTTGTTGTAGTGATAGAGTTGATAGAAATGTTTCTTTCTTTTTTCTTTTTATTTTTATCCTTGCTATAAATTTACTTCTTTTCATAAGTCTTTTTTTCTCCTAAAATAAATTTTTTAAAACAACAAATCTAAATATAAAATTTTTAAGATAAAAACATCAAAATTAATATAAAAAAATTAAAAGAAAAAATATCAAAATTAAGAAAATGATCCTGAGATTTGATGATGAAGCTTTACCCGATAATCATATTAATTTGTTTCATTTTATTAGAGATGGAAAAATAGAAGAGATTAAAAAGATGATTGATACTGACCCTATTACTTGTAAAGCATATGTAGATGATGACCAACGAACATTATTACATTGTGCTTGTGAATTACAAAATTATTCTTTAGTTGAAAAAGTTCTTCAAATTTGTGATAATAAAAATCCTGTTGACGAAATGTTATTTACTCCATTACTTGTTAGTGTTGCAGGTGCTTCAATGAATAATGAACTTGATGAGTCTTATAAAATTATTCAATACCTAATTGAACATGGAGCAGATATTACATTATCAAATAAAAGAAAAGCTAATGTCTATCATTTTGCTTGTAGTAGAGGAAGAAAAGACTTAGTTGAATTGTTTTTGAGTAAATGGAAAGAAGGAGCTTCTTCTCGGGATAAATATGGTAATACCCCTTTACACCGAGCTGTGGCTAGTGGAAATATTGAATGTACAAAACTAATTGCAAAGAAGACCCATACTATTATCGCTCAAAACTCTATGAAAAAGACTCCATTGCATATTGCTTGTGAAGAACAAAATATCCCTATGATAAAAACTGTGATTGATCTTGGTGGAGATGCTGATATTGTAGATGAAGATGGTAAATTCCCATTTGAATTTATCAATGATAGAACAGCATTCAAAGAGGTTTGTGAATATTATAAAGCAAGCAAAAAACATTGATTATTATAATTGAATTAAATTATTTATAACTGTTTTACAATTCATAGCCTCTTCTAACAACATTGGTAATTGGCTTGGACTTTTCATTGAATAAACATTCTCAGCAAGTCTATCTATAGTTATTTCAAGTACATTTTGACGAAAAACAAATAAGTCTGGTGATAAATCTTCTTTTGGTAAGAAGAAGACTTTAACGTATGAGTATTGAAGAGTTCGTATTCCATCTTCAATAATTGAACAGATAGAATTCAATATTTCAACATCATTTAAGTTTTTTGTTTTAGAAAATAATTTTCTTTTATTTTCAACTTCTTCATGAAATAGTCTTATTTGAACTTTATGATTCATAAATCGTTCAAAATAATATTGATACCTTTCACTTTCTTCTTTAGTTTGTTCAGTAGCTTCATCTAATTTCTTTGCTTTAGAGGTTTCATATAAATTACATTTATAGAAACCACCAGTTTTTGTCCCATGAGTCTTCCAATCTCCTCGACACATCCAACACCATTCTCCATGACATCTAGGACAAGTCATATGATTACATCCTTTAGTTCTCTCAGTCATTAACCCACAATGAAAACAAGGTTTAGATATTGACTCAATCATTCTCATACTTTCAGAGTCTTCTTGGTATAAACTTTCCCATTCACTAAGTTCTTTACATGAAGCAGGTTCATGTCTTTCTTTTCCACATCCAAAACAAAATTCATGTCCACAATAACAACTAACTTTAAAAAGTGGTTTTCCTGTTTTGATAACATGAATAATTCGTTCACAATCAATTCCACAACATTTTTGATATTGATGATTACGCTCTAAATAATTTTGAACAATCATTTTTTTGAATTTTTCAATATTGTTTTTGTTACAATAAGATAATACGAATTGAAGAGAAAGATGTTGTTCACAGTCACTTTGCATACACCTATAACTATTATAAGACAACGTACCATTCATAAGAAGGTATTCATTCCAGCAATTTAAACAAAATTTATGACTACAACGTTCACCAACTAATATTCCATCTTCATAACAGACTGGACATGTTCCTTCTGTAATAAATGATTTATAACTTTGGTTTTGTTTACTTTTATTACTTGTTTCATTAGAAAGAATTCTTGTTGATGCTTCATCAAGGTCTACATCATATGTTTCAACATATTCATTAATTTCACTTAAAAATAATTCATAAATATCTCCTTCTGTTAGTATTTCAAATTTTGGGTTATTGGTCATTTCATAAGACCATTTATTTATTATATCTTGCTCATCATCGGAATCAGTTTCTCCATTCATTTTCTGTTCAACCTTATTTTTTTCTTTTGGTTCAAAAGACAATGGTTTTAATGAAATGTAGGTTGGTTTGGATATTGGTTTTTTGATAGGCTGAAGACTCTTTTTTTCTTCCCTCTTTTTACGTTCATCTTCAATAATTTGCATTGCCAACGCATTTTGAACTGCTGAATCAACATTCCAACCAGAACGTATTAATGAGTTTGTAGCAATAACAACTGAAAATCCCATTTGGACAACCGTTGAAATCAGTCTGACTTTCTTGCCTTTGAACCTTTGTATAATTTGGTTGTTGTTAATAGTTGAACACACAGCACATGGATGATGTTCAAGATGACAATGCTTACAAATAATAAAGGCACCACAATTATTACAAATATACGCTTTGTTGAATATGCCAATACTTCTTCTATTATATAAAAATGAAACTATGTCATGTTAAAGAAAACTAGATGAACAAACAAGCAATCCTCACAATTTATTGTTTTATTAAGAAAGATTTTCTTAAAATTTTCCATTATTTAGCTTTTTTTCTTGTCTCTTCCTTTTTCTTCTTTTCTTTCTTTGTCTTTTCATATTGAATCTCTTTTTCAAAAACTAGATAATTAAATCTTAATAATCTAACTTTTCATGCAAAATTACTTCTCTTCAGACTTTCCTTTTGACTCGTCACTCTCAGGTAATTCTCAATCAAACAACTTCTTCTCTCAACAACACCAAGAATTTAATGACTTTTCTTCGAATGAATTTTCTTCACAGTCATCAAACAATTTTCCTGTGACATTCCAAAACGACTTTTCTCAATTTTCAACTTTTGACCCTCAAGTTAATCAACAGTCAACCCAACAAAATGTTCTATCAAAAGGTCCTGCAAAATTTAAATTTGAACCACCACCTTCTACAACTAAAAGAGGATGTGCTGATATAAAACCTCCAATGACCAACCCCTCTTCTCTCAATCCTGCTTCACAACAACAAATCCAAGTCCAACCACCGTCTTCAGAAAAACAAACAACTGAAGATGTGCCACAACCAATACAACCCCAAGTCAAAAAACAATCTGCTAATGATCATTATAATCTTTTAAGAGAAATTGCTGCTGAGACACTAACCTCAAACAATCTTGTTCAAACCGAGTCTTTAGCACAACATACAGAACAACCATTTGAATTTAATAATCAACAACAATCATTTGAATTTAATAATCAACAACAATCATTTGAATTTAATAACCAACAACAACTTAATGTATTTTCTAATGACTTCTCTTTTGATCAACAAACAGGACAACCCTCACAAGAAACAATGGAGTATCAGGTTGTTGAACAACAATTAAAGTCTCAGAAATCTGAAGAACCTAAAGTTGAAATTACGCCTCAAGTAACACAACCTCTCAAACCTACTAAATTCATACCACCACCAAAAACATTATCACCAAGTGAAGGTGAAACAAAAACACAAGTACCTGTAGAGCAAAAAACTAATGACAATACTCAGTTTGCTTTTAGTTCTTTTGAAAATGCCTTTTCAGGAGATTTTTCATTTGACACTCCAATCGGGTCTCATAAGGAAGAAATTCAATTTGAACAAAAGCCAATAGAGTCTGATGCTCCTGTAATGGCACAAGAAGAAAAGAAAGAGGTAATACCAGAAAATAAATCATTTGATATGATGAATTTCAATGAGGATGAAAAGAGAGAAGAACTTAACCAAGCTAAACAGAAAAAAGAAGAGTTACTAGAAGAAAAAAGTCGTTTAGAAAAGGAAGTTCAAGAATCTTCTCAAGATATAAAGGAGATTGACAACATAAAAGAACTTCAAAGTGAAAATGAACAACTACAAAGAGAAATTAATGAGATGAAAAAACAAATTCAAAACATAAAAGAAGAAAAAAGCAAACGAGACGAAGAAACCACTAGACTTATAAAAGAGAATAATGAAATGAAAAAACAAATTAATGATTTAAAACAAAAACTAAGAGACATGAAGGAAAAAGAAGAAGTTGAAAAGAAAGATAATGAAACCAAAAAACAAGAAAATACTGAACTTAAAGAATATTCAAATGAAGGACAACGTCTTGTTCAAGTAAAAGCAATGGGTGGTATTGTGGAAGACCAAGAAATTGATTCATTCATTTCACATGAAATAAAATCAGAAGAAGAAATAGATAATAGAACAAATGGGATGATAGAAGAAAAGAAGCAATCAGAAGAAAATCCTTCACAAGAAATTATTGATCAAATAAAACAAATGTTAAGCGATGGGTCATATAAGTTAGGTCCATTTCTTAGCACATTGTTTACAGTTCAAGATGAAGACTTTGAAGATGATAGAAATGAGTTTCCAATGCTTCCATTTGCTTTACTTTAAATAAAAAACTTGAATGAAATAACAACAATCATAAAATATAAAAATATTTTTTAACTAATGTTTTTATTATTTTTACTAATATTAAAAGAAAAAAACTGACTTTATTTTGTCAGAAAGTTTTTGACATGACGTCGTTATTTAATTCTTTTTTATATTATGGAGGAAGATGTATCCAAGGAGTTTTACTTGTTGTTGCTTTGTATTTATTTATTTTGCTTGTTTTCATTCATATAACTCAAGTGATACCATTATATTATTTACAATACCCTTTAATTGTTTCAATTGTGTTGACTTTATTATCTTTGTACTTAATTTCATTTTTTGTCATTATGTATATTCGAACTGTGTTTACCAAACACTTAGATACAGTTCCAACATCAAAACTTTGTGAATATTTTGATGGTGACTTAGTAAATTCTCCTTATATAAGTTGTGAAACTTGTCAATGTCTAAAACCATTCAGATGTCATCATTGTCAAATTTGTGATTGTTGTATTTATCGAATGGACCATCATTGTATTTGGGTAGGTCAATGTATAGGAATTCACAATATTAGGTTTTTCTTTTTGTTTATAAGTTCATTATCCTTGTCATTATTACTTGGTGCAATAACAACATATCCATTACCTTTTTCTACTTCAATTAAACTACTATTTACTTTTGAATGTGTATTAGGAAGTGCATTGTTTATTTTTGCTTTTGGACATTTTTTGATGATAGTAACAAATCAAACATCATTAGAAATAAGTTCTAATATAATAGACTATATCCATCAGCCATCTCATCTTCGTAGATTTATTACTCCTTATGATTTAGGAATATCAACCAACATCCATCAAATATTACGATTTGCATCATATTGGGAATTGTTCAATCCTTTTTCAAAACAAGTATCATGTGATCCAATGAAAGTAATTGTATCAAGAGAATATATGATGTACTGTGATTGTCTAAGTGAAGAAAATGAACAGAACCAATAAAATGAAATGTAAGATTCAATATAAAATTGTTGAATGAAATGAATTGTTTTTGTAAAGATAAAGAAGTTTATTATATTATTTTCTTCTTTTTTATATTGAGTTAGCTGAAAGTGATAATGGAGTAATATTAGAATGTCTAGGAGAAGAAACTTGTCTTCCCTTTCTTATATAAGCAACAATACGAGAACATTCCTTTTTTTGAACAACAAATCGTTCATCATTCATTTCTATATACTCACCTTCACATATTTCATTGTAATGTTCAAAAACTTCACAAAGTCCTTTATCTATTAAATAGACTTCTTTATAAATAAGATATGGATTACAACTATGTTGGTCAGTTCTTCTGAAATGACGTGCTAATGCAGGTGCTCTTGTTCCAGAAAATTCACAATAGAAAAGTAAAATTGATGGACTTTGAGGTAAATCTTTTTCTATTGGAAAATGATTTAATAAAAGATCTTCATTCCAAAGATTCAAAGCACCTTTGATATGCCCTGCATTATATTCATAGGGATATCTACAATCAATAATTTCAACATAAACGTGATCTTTTATTACTTGTTTAAGTGTAGATAGATCAATTGTTCTTACTCCTATTAATGTTGGTTCTGAAGGAAGAACTGTGTCACAAACTCTTTGACTTTCATCATATGATATAACATCTGGAGAATTTGGAGATAAACAAAATTCATCAAGAGTTAGTCTTCTATGACGATTTTTCATCATCGTCCATGGCTCAGGTGTTTTACAAATTTTTGGTGGTAAAGAAATTTCAACGTCAGAAAATGGTGAGAAAGAAGAACGGAATGACTCACACCTTGGAGTTATTGATTTAATATCTAACGTTTGACTTTTCATAGAAGTAATGAATGAAGTACTAACTAGGCTTTTCTGAGTCATAATAGCCTAAGTATATTTATAACTTTATTTTTTAGTACTCTTATAGGATTATTTTCAAACGTTTTTACTCTGTTCATTAAATTTTTCTCAAGTTAGTAGTCTTAGACAAAAAGAACTTTTCTCATACTGTTTCTACATAATTATTATTGACAGACAAAAGAATTTCTTCAAAAATTTTTTCAAATACCATAAAATCTTTTTTTAGTAGTTTACAAAAAAAACATTAAGGAGTTATTGTGATTATTATTGCTTTGTTGTCTAATTTGGTTCTGTTTATGTTAGAAGAGATGGATTGAATAGAATATTATAAAAAAAGATAATAAGAGATATTTTTATCCTCGTATATGAATAACACCTTTATTATTCTGAGTATAATAATAAATAATATATGATTGGTTGTATAGGATTTACCTATGATAGGTATTTAGTTAGAAGAAAAGATTCAGGAAACAACAATTTTAATAAAAAAAAAAAGGATTAAGACTTTAATGAGTTAAAATAAACAATTAATTAAGTCTAATATTGATAAAAGTTCTTTCTTCTTCTATTTAAAATTGAGCCAATTTCCTTTTCTTGAAGAAGGATAATTAATCATGGTAGCATTTCTTCTTATTGTAGCTTCTCGTTTACAAAGTCTATGTGGGTCTAAGAAATCTAAATATTCCATGTCGTCCATTGGTTCAACTGGTTTATTTAATTTATCATTATCATAACTTTGACCTAAACTATTTCTAGTTTTATTTTCAAAGTCTACTTCTTCTGTATCACTACTTTCATTTTCTGATTTTACAGTACCAACAATTTTTATTGGGGAATTAGTTGGCATAAACATTTTAGTTGATTTATTTATTTGGTCATTAATTTTTATACTATCACTAGTACTTGCACTACCTGTTTTTATATCAGGGGTTGTAAGTAATATATGTGGGTCTTCTTCTTCTTTTGTTTCAGGTTGTTGTAATTGGTTAATTGGTATAAGTTTTTCTTCTTCACTTTTTGCTGAGGTAGATCTTGGAACCATTAAAGAATAACCACCTTTTTTTCCACCACTCCTTGCTCTTGGTTTTAGTAAATTACTAGCACTATGTTTTAATGATGGATTCTTATAAACAATACCAAGCCTAGACTTTGACCCTGATCTAGTTATGTTTCTATCAATTACAGGTGATTTGATATTAGAATTTGGTAGAATTTCTTCTTTTCTTTTTGTTGTTATTGACTGAACCAATGTGCTAATCATTTCATTAATTTGTGAAAAGCCAGGTCGTCGTTCAGGTTTTTGACGCCAACACTGTTTTATAATTTCTCTATAAACACAATCTTTTGGTATTCCAATTCTTTTTCCTGAACAAACAAAGTTTAATACACTATCACCGTCATGAAATTCAATAATTGGATAAGGGTCATGAGTTAACCATATTTCTAACATACAAATAGCAAATGAAAAAACATCTGATTTTAATGTTAATTTTCCCGTTCTATGTACTTCAGGAGCCATATACATTGGTGTACCAACATCACGAATAGTAATAGTATTGGAAGATTCAATAAATGCTTGTGATGTTCCAAAATCACTAACTTTACAAACAACAGGATCATATGGATTTTTAGAATATACTAAAACATTATCAGTTTTTAAGTCATGGTGAATGATATCATTTTGATGAAGATAACCCATCCCAATAGCTATATCTTGACATATTCTTACTTTCATTAATGTAGTCATTTTATTTAATTTCATATATTTTCTTAAAGACCCCAATGTACAAAATTCTGTAACAATACATAAAGTATCTGGAGTAACAATAGTTCCAATAAAATTAACAATATTTTGACATCTCAGTCTTTCCATTAATTCTGCTTCTTGTTCAAAATTAGGCATTAAATCTTTTAAATCAACCATATCAGTTTTTAATACTTTAACAGCAATTTCTATTTTCCTCCATTTAGCTCTATAAACAATTCCAAATGTTCCTGCTCCAACTGGTGGTTGTTCTAATCTAACTTCTTCATAATCTAATTTAGTAGATACTGCGGATTCTGCATTAAGATTTAAATAAGTATAAATTCTTGTTATTTTTTTTTCACCATTACTTTCACTTGATTCTACTTCATCGTCATCATCCACTTCGTCTTCTGAATGTTCTGTTTTTTCTGAAAGATTTAGAATGTCTTCATCTTCCATAGAGTGACGTACAATTTTCCAATTTCCCCATTCCAATGTAATGGGTATTTTTTTATTATTAATTATTGTTGTACATCGAATAAGAATTTTAACTTTAATTACAACAGTTTGTCCTCCACGAATATTTCCTACAGACGGTTCAAAGACTAACTCATATTTATATTCTTCATGACCATGTAATATAAAGCTTAATGTTTCTTTTCTACAATTAGTAATACAGATTTTTGTTCTTGCAACTTCATCTACATCCGGTCTTATTGTAGAATCATTAAATGTAACTGATGATGGATTAAAAACGACGTAGTTATGAAGTGATTCAAGTGGAATATATCTTTTTCCTTCTTTATTAAATGGAATAATTGTACCACAAATCAATCCTTCTTTTTTTGTATTTTTCATAACTTTAGATATTTTATTAGATTTAATTAACGTTACAACTAATACTATAAAGTAATACAATGCATAAATTCCTACAAAACATGAAACAAAAATTATATTGTTTAAATATTTATATTCACATGATACATTTCCATTTGGTTTATATCTCCTAGTACATTTACATCGTTTATCACAACCTAATCCACCATCACACTCTTCTCCTGGGTCAAGACGATAATTTCCACAATAGTTCCTAACACAACTTCCATTAACATAGTAATATTCTTCTATACATTTACATTGATTATCACAAAATGGTTGATTTAATTCACATTCTTCTCCATCATCTAATACTCCATTTCCACATTTTGTACATTCTCCATTAATTGATACAAAATTCTTTTCACATAAACATTCTTGAAACTTTGAACTACATACTCCACCAATACATCCTACACAAGAAACAGTTATTTGAAGTGAATCTCCACTCCCAAAAATTAATGTTTCTTCATTATAACGAAACATAACAGATAGAGATGTTAAATTAGAATACATTCCAATACATGAATGTTGTGTTTGTAATGAGAGAATAACATCACTTCCAGTTGTTTTAATTTGATACGAAACAGTTTTATTTCCAACGAATCGAAACCAATGACCAAGAATATTATGATTATAACACAATGTATTACCATAATAATTCTTTCTTATTTGATTATATTGAGTTTGATTATTAAAATCAAATATTGAAGCGAAAGAATAAAGGTCAGTTCTTTGAATAGTTAATTGAGTTGATACCATTCCTGACAAAAAAAGAACATACTCTCTTTTCTCTAATAAAATATAAAAAGGATGTTCAGTATCAAATACTTGTACACAACTTGAACATGAATTTTGAATACTTATTAGTAATAGAGAATTTGAACTAAATGAATAAAGATTATTCTCTGAATAAAGTACATAATAATATCCTTTAGTTTGTTGAATTAAATAAGGTAACGTATTAAAGCAAGGAGTTTCTACAAAATAAACTATGTCTGGAAAAGTTAAAGTTAAGAAATTATTAATGACAAATTTTGATGGAAAAGATGTCAAAAAAGATTCACACGTTTTTGGTTGATTTACGATCTTTTCACATCTCATCCCGAAAGGATAATAGCCAGTTTGACACCCACCACAAGAAATAAGCATTCCTGCCTTTTCATCACATATTTCACATTGTCCATAGATACAGCTCAAACAAAAATCATTGCATGGATATCCTGTTGAAACTAAAATGATTAGTGCAAAACATATAGGCAGTAGTTTATGGTGTTGCATTTGAATCTAATCAATTTGTTTTCAAATAGATTTTCTTTCTTTTTCTTCTGTCTGATAATTTTGGTTTACTAAAATCCTTTTTTAAATTAACCAGAAAAAAATTGTTCAAGTTTAAATGATTTTTTTTAAAAAATGAAAAACATTTTTACATTTCTCATATTGTAATATATTCTATTTATTTTTATTTTAAGTAACTCAAAACATTGTCTTTTTTTAAGTTGACTATTTATTAAAATTAATCTTTTACTACAACATCCCTCTAATTATTTGAATGACTAGGAAATATGAATTAGAAAATATTAATTACTTTTGTATAACACCTCTTATACCTAAAGAAAGTAGGAAATTTTAATACTAACCAAAAACATTTAATAATAGATAATAAACAATTCAATTAAAAATATATAGAAATATTTAAATTATATCTTTGTATAAAAATTATATATCCTTTAATGAGAATTTACTAAAAATAAACCATTCTAATAGCAAAAATTTATCAGATAATGTAACCAATAACTAACTAAAATAAATAACAACGTTATGTAAGTACTATCAGATTCGTGTTTTATGTTCATATAAAGAAGGAAAAAAAATACTTTTTGATACAATAGATTAACTATAAAAACAATTAAATAAACTACCATATTTATTGTAATTGAAAAAATAACTAGAATAGGTCAAAACTATAACAACAAATAATAATTTTTTATTAAAAAAAAGGATTTTAAATATGAAAAATGTTTCGGTATTTAGACAAAAAAGTTGTATATAAGAAATGAGATATAAAGAAGATTAAAATTGAAATTAGTAAACTAAAAAAATATAATTATTTATATATAAATTATAAAAAATAGTAAAAACCAAAGTTATGAAACACATTTTGATTATAAAATGAAAACGAATTTTTTTATCTTTCAAAAGAAAAATATGATTCTATTATTATCATCAAAAAAAAAGAAATTTGACTTTTCTTATTAATATTTCTTCCACAATTTCAAATATAAAAAGGAAAAAAAAAATGATAGAAATTAGTTTCATTAAAAAAAAAGTAAAATTATACTTCAACTAATTTAAAGTTTATTAAAAGCCTTAATTCCAGCTTGTTTAGCTTCATTGATTCGACTTTGATTTTTGTTTTCTTCTCTTTGTGTACCAGATAAATAAACTCCTTGATACTTAGCTCCATATGACTCAACAAATGATTGAACAGGATAAGCAGCTCGTTCACAAATACTTTTACCTTCTTCTGCTGAATTTGAAATACAAACAAATAGTTTTTTAGAGAAATTATCTTTTAAACTTGGTTTGATTCCATATGTTTTCATATCAAATAAACAAACAGTTCTATCAACAAAGTTTTTAATTTCTCCTGGAATGGCATACCAATAAACTGGATATGCAAAAATAACAATATCAGAATCTACAACTTCTTGCATAACTTCTTCAAAACCATCTTTTATAACACAATAAAAACTTTCCTTTGGTGAACAAGCATAACATCCTGTACATCCATCTAATTTTTTTTGTGCAAGATTAATAGTTTTACTTTCAATTTGAGTTTTAGAAGATAATCCTTCAAGAAATGCTTTTGCATAAAGACTACTACTTGAGTTTTCTCTATAACTTCCAAGAAGAACAAGTACTTTAACAACCATTCAAGTAAATGGTTAAAATTAAGATTCAAAGTTTTTTAAATATTACGAAAAAAAAAAAAAGAAAAGTTTAAAAAAAAGAATTTTCACTATTTTCGTTCTTTTCTTATTTTTAGATTTATTATGTGATATAAATAAAAATAATAAGAAAACAAGTATAAATTATAATAATTCATTAGTATTTTCTTGTAACTTTTCTGAAATTTCTTGTTGTGGTTGTTCTGAATTAGGTTCAGTCACTTGAACTTGTTCAAGTTTAGTTGTTTCAATAGGAGATGGTCCTTCATTATTTTCCCTAAGAGAAGTTGGTTCAGCACGTTTAGCTTGTCTTTTATTGTTAATAAAATAACCGATATGATAAATAATGGCTGTTGTAGTTAATGTTATTAACATAACAACAACAATAAAATACATTGGTGCAAATACCCCAAATGCATTAGATAAAAGCCCTGCAATTAAAGGTAAAATTGCATTAGACATAGATGCAACACTTTCACTTACTCCTACAAATAAACTTTTTGATTTTTCACTTGCTCTGAGAGAGTAATAAGTTGATGTTTGATAACTAAATCCAGCAGCTAATCCAGCAATAAAAGACATAGCAAAAATAACATATGGATTAAATACAACAACTAATAATAATGAAAATACTAAGAAAATAGCTTGAGCAAGTAAACATAATGATCGATGATAAGTCCATTTATCAGTAAAACTCATAATACCAAACATAATTGTTTGTGCAAAGTACATAATGAAAAAATTGAATGAAACAAAGTTATCTTCAGGACTTCCTTTCATTGGAATTCCTATTGATTTTTCATCAGCAATTTTAATATATTGATTAGTAATAACACATGACGCTCCAAATAATCCCAATTGCATAATATATCCTAAATAAATATATGTTTTATTTTTTAATTGTTTATCATTCCATTTTACTTTTATTTTAATATTTGCTTCATTAACAACTTCATTAGGAATTACTACATCATCTTTTTCTTCTTGATTTATTTGTTCTTTTGTCATTTGTGATTCTTCAATTTCTTGTTGTAATGATGGACTTACATTTACCTTGACATCATTTGCTTCTTTTTCTTTATTCATTTCAACAGCATTCTTTAACATTTTCTTTTCTTCTTTCTCCTTTTTAATTTTTTCTCTTAACCATTTAACATGTCTGTATGGATAAACAATCACAATAACAACATTAATTCCAATAGCAATATACAATGATGTACTTGCACCAAGTGCTGATTTTAAAAAACCTCCAGCCGCATATCCAATAGCTTTACCAAATGACCATGATACAGCAAATAAACCAGAGTCTCTTGCCTCATGTCCTATACCAGCTTCTTTACCTATTGTACCTACAGCAGCTGGCCAAAAAGTTAAAGCAGAAAATGCCCAAAATGCTGCTGAGAAATAAAATCCAATTTTACTAGTTGGCCATATAGCAACTATTACTTCACCAATAGTTAAGAATACCATTGATAGTCTAAGGACAATAAATGGGTTTAATTTATCTGCTAATTTACCACCGAAAGGTGCTAATGATGCATAAATCAAAAAGCATACAGTTTGGAGCAATGCTAATTGAATTGCTGAAGCTCCTTGCTCATTAAATAATAATGGAACTACAATCCAGTAAAAATAACAAGAAGTATTATATAAAAATGCAACTAACAAATGTCGTGGTAAGTTACTAAAAGGAAATAATAAAATCTTTAAGCATTTATTCATCCCTAATATACAACCCAACTACTTTTATAGTTCTTCTGTCAGATCTAAAACTCTCAGTATTACCAATAAATTATTCAATTTTTTCTTTTGAAAAAAAAATAACAGAAGGTTGTCGATTAGAAATGCACAAGAAACTGCATTCGGTTTCATTCTCAGTCACGTTGATGATATTCTTATTGAAATAGTTTTTTCTATTTTTTTCTTCTATATTCCTTTTTTTTTTTTTTTTCTTAAAAAGACAAATAATCTCAATGTTTCACAACTTATCAAAATATAATTAAATCATTTTCTGTTATATAAGAAAAACAAAAAACAAAATTAACAAAAATCTTTTTCTGCAAAAATTAAGTAAAGAACTCAGAATAAAAGAACTCCAACGATGAACTTAAAAATAGAAAGAACCAAAAGAAATGAGTCAACCACCAATTCCTGCAAAAAGAAAGGCTTCAGAAAAAGACCCAAAAGCTACATTCACAAAGCCTTCAAGACTTATTGCTGCAGCAAAAGCTGGAGAAGATGAGTTAATTAGAGAATATATGGAGGATCCAACTAAAAAAATTGATATTAATAAAGTTGATTCACTTGGACAATCTTCTATGCACTGGGCTGCACATTCTGGATATCCAAATACTATTGAAACATTAGTACATTATGGTGGTAATGTTAATCTTCAAGACAAGACAGGAGAAACTCCATTACATAAAGCAGCTTGGAGAGATAAAGTACAAACAATTGCAAAATTAATTTCACTTGGAGCAGATATTACTATTAAGAATGATAAAGGAGAAACTCCATTTATGGTTGCTAAAAGTCTTGAAGCAAAGAAACTTTTATACATTCCAACAGTTAACCTTGATGAAGATTGTGAGGATTCACGTGATTCAGATGATGATTAAACTTACTTTTTTATCATCCATTCAATTTATTTTTTTCAACTTCAGAATGATATTTTTTATTTATGTTTTATTTATAAAAAGAAATAGAAAGAGTTAAACATAAATTAAATATAATAATTAGTAATAATTACATAATACTTGATGAGACATTTATTTTAATATTTCATCAGTTTATTAGTTAGTTGGTATTATATTTGGTATATATTGAAGTACAGAATTAATTGGAATAGTTAAAGGGATAAGCCATAAATTTACTTTAATAGCATTTTCAAATATTTGTTTATGAATTTCATCAAGAAAAGCAATAGTACTTTCATCTTTCAAAGAAATAGACCAATGACTTGTCCCATCAAAAATAATAATTTGATCTATTTTTCTAATTGAAGGAATAGAAGTATTAACAGTAATAGCTTTTGTTGATTTTTTCTCTGTAGCAGTAACAAATTTCATAGAAAGAATACAGTCAACAAGAATGTTATTTGATTGAGTTTTGATGTATTGAGTAATTCTTCTTTCCATATCTTTTTTTCCTTCACCAACTTTTAGTCTAATTGCTTCATTTCTTAGTTCATCATAACTAAACACAATATTCCCAAAAGGATCAATACATTTAGAAATATGGATAAATGGTAACACAGTATGAATATTAAACTTTTTTGGTTTAACAAAAACAAAAGAAAATCCCCAGTTATTTAATAAACTAATATAAAGAATTTCTCTTAAATTCTCTAAATGAACAGAATTATATTTTCTCTTTTTCTCTTGTTCATTTTTGTTTAGCTTTGGACTTACTGAAGTAACAGAATGTAATGATTTATCCATTTCGTGATGAAGTAAACTATGAATTTAAACCCTTTTATACCCCTTGTTTTGAAGTCATCTAAAATAGAACAATTAAACAAATAGTATTATTTTATTATTCTTTTTACTATTATAAAATTAAATACTTCAAACCCTTTAAAAATAGTTTTTTTTATTAATTTATTTATTAATATTTTTTTTGTTCTATATTTGAAACCTTCATTATATTTTTAAGTTTATAATAAAAGTATTATATTTAATATTATAATAAACTATTTTAAGTTTTATTTTCATACAACTTTATCTATAAAAAGAAATTATGTTATTAGATTTTGTTAAGTTTTAACTCTTTTTTATTCAAATTTAAAAAATTTTTGTTATTTCACAAAAAATAAATTACATCCATTGAACCACTAACACTTTTTCCATTACATTTTCATCTTTAATAAAAAGAGTATCTCCAGCAAGTGAAGGGTCTGTATATCGTTGACTAAATTTCATTCCCATTTCAACAACAAAAACCTTTCCTTTTTTTATTACATTCATTGTTTTTTTTAATGAAATAAATATATGTTCACCTGGATGAATAGCACAAGACTTACATTTCTTTTTTATAGGATAAAATGGAGTTGGAGCAATATTAAAAGGATTTTGAAGTGTAAAAACAAAATGTCCAGGATCGTTTTTAATAAATCCATAAGATGGTATTTTTTTCGTATTATACCACCCAAAAATATTTAACCGTTTACCTACAAGTAATATCATAATATTAGTCAGTCCTGTAAACTCTATTGGAAATTCATCTTTGGCTGAATCATAAATAACTTGATATTGAGATTTACCTGTCCATTTTTTGAAATCATCGAGATATGATTTAATTAAATAATCACTATCAACACATCTCATATACTCACTTTTCTTTTCTTTAAAAGTCCTAATCCTTGCTAAATCATTTTCTCTTCGTATCCTATTCTCTGTCTCCATTTTAAATAATCTATCTTGGTCTAACATAACTTCTTCAACTAAAGAAGTATTACTTGGTTGTGGTGGAATAATTAAAATAGGAACTACATCCTTTTTATTCGATGTATTTGATCGTTGACGAGATATTTTAGATAAAGCATCTGCAGCTTTAAATTTACCATAATATCTTGGAGTAAAGAAAATCCCTTCTTTTTCTATTTCTTTTGGACTTAATTCAATAGAATTATTTTCAGCTTGTCGTGAAATAGAGGATAGAGAAGTCCCACGTTTTCTTGGTGATTCAATATATGATTTTTCTTGATAACTGTAAGATAATTGTGTTGGTTTATAAAACTCAATTTTATTAATTCTACGTTTTTGTGAAGATTCAGTTGAGGGATTAGGTTCTATTATTATTGGTTCAGTTGTTGTTGGATGAGCTTTAACAACTATTTTGTTTTCATTTAATTCATCTTGACTTTCATCTAAGACTTTATTTACTTCTATTAAACTAGAAACTTCTTTTTTATTTTGTTGTTGTTCAGAGAGAGTAAATGTACTTTGGTTGATTATCTCTGTTGTGTGTTGTTCTGTTGTTTCAAT